TTTCCTAGTGGATTTAGGCTTTATTTGCTCTTCTTTTTCCAGCTCTTTTAGGTGTAAGATTAGGTTGTGTATTTGAGACTTTTCTTGTTTCCTGAGAAAGGCTTATATTGATATATAGTTCCCACTTAGGACTGACTGCCTTTGCTGCATCCCAAAGGTTCTGAACTATCATATTTTCATTTTCATTTTCATTTTTTTCATGAATTTTTAAAATTCTTCTTTAATTTCCTGGTTGACCCATTCATTCCTTATTAGGATGCTTTTTAACCTCCATGTATTTATGTTCTTTCTAAATTTTCTCTTGTGATTTTGTTCAAGTTTCAAAGCATTGTGTTCAGAAAATATGCAGAGAATAATCTCAATCTTTTGCTATCGGTTGAGACCTGATTTGTGACCCAATATGTGATCTATTCTGGAGAATGTTCCATGTGAACTAGAGAAGAATGTGTATTCTGTTCCTTTAGGGTGGAATGCTCTGAATATATCTGTGATGTCCATCTGATCCAGTGTATCATTTAAAACCCTTGTTTCCTTGTTGATCTTCTGCTTAAAATATCTGTCCATTGGTGTGAGGTGTTAAATTACCCTCCTATGATTTGTATTATCAATGTGTTTCTTTAATTTTGTTATTGATTGGTTTATATACTTGGCTATTCACCAGTTAGGGGCATAGATGTTTACAACTCTTAGATTTTTTTTTAGTTGACCCTTTTATTATGATATAATATCCTTCTTTATCTCTTATTACAGTCTTTGGTTTAAAATCTAGTTTGTCTGATGTACAGATGGCTACCCCAGCTTTCTTTTGAGGTCTGTTAGCATGATAAATGTTTCTACCCCCCCTCAACTTTCAATCTCGAGGTATCTTTGGGTCTAAAATGAGTCTCTTGTAGACAGCATATTAATAGGTCTTATTTTTTTTTAATCCTTTCTGATACCCTGTGTCTTTGGATTTGAGCATTTACTCCATTTGCTTTCAGAGTAATTACTGAAGGGAATGAATTTAGTGCCATTGTATTACCTGTAAAGTTGCTGTTCCTATAGATTGTCTCTGTTCCTTTCTGGTCTTTGTTACTTTTGGGCTCTTTCTTTACTCAGAGGATCCCCTTTAATATTTCGTGCAGGGCTGATTTAGTGATCACAAATTCTTTTAGTTTTGTTTGTCCTGGAAATTCTTTTTTTTTAAAAGATTTTATTTATTTATTTGACAGAGATCACAAGTAGGCAGAGCGGCAGACAGAGAGAGAGGAGGAAGCACGCTCCCCACTGAGTGGAGATCCCCATGCAGGGCTCGATCCCAGGACCCTGGGATCATGACTGGAGCTGAAAGCAGAGGCTTTAACCCACTGAGCCACCCAGGTGCCCCATGTCCTGGAAATTCTTTATCTTTTCCTCTATTCTAAATGACAGCCTTGTTGGAAAAAGTATTCTTGGCTGCATATTTTTCTCATTTACCGCCTTGAGTATATCATGCCTGTTGTTTCTGGCCTGCCAGGTCTATGGACACGTCTGCTGCCAGCCTTATGATTCTACCATTGTAAGTTAAGGACCTCTTGTCCTGAGCTTCTTTCAGGATTTTCTCTTTATCTCTGAAATTTGCAAGCTTCACTATTATATGTAGAGGTATTGACCATTTTTATTGATTTTTAGGGAAGTTCTCTCTGCCTCCTGGACTTAAGTACCTCTTTCATTTCCCAGATTAGGGAAGTTGTCAGCTATAATTTGATCATATAAACCTTCTGTCTCTTTCTCTCCGTCTCTCCCTTCTTTCTCCTCCTCTTCCTCCTCCTACTTCTCCCCTTCTTCTGGGACCCCTATTATATTAATATTATTTCACTGTATGGTAAGGCTGATCTCTTAAATCCTCCCTTAGTGATCCAATAGTTGTTTTCCTCTCTTTTTCTCAGCTTCCTTATTCTCCATCATTTTGTCTTCTATATCACTGACTCTCTCTTCTGCCTCATTTATCCTAGCAGTTAGAGCCTCCATTTTTTACTGCATCTCAGTAATAGCCTTCTTCATTTTGGCCTAATTAGATTTTAGTTCTTTTATTTCTCCAGTGTAGGATTCTTTAGTGTCTTCTGTGCTTTTTTAAGCCCAGCTGGTATCTTTATAATCATTGTTTTGAATTCTAGTGCAGATATCTTACCTATATCCATACTGATAAATTCCTGGCAGTGAGTACTGCCTCCTTTTCTTTCTTTTCAGTGAGTTTCTCCATCTTCTCATTATGTCCAGAAAATAGTAGATGAAAGATAGAGAAAAGAAAAAAATAGCAACAACAACACCAGAAAAATACAGTGCAAATCAGAAGAAAGCAGAAACAAAGAAAAAAAGAAAGAAAAAACATCAAACAAGAAGTAAAATAGTCAAAACAATAAACTGGATGCTGAGTGTATTTTGATCTGTTTGTTAGAAGAAACTACTTCCTAAATAGGAAGGAATGAAAAACTTATATATAAAATAAAACTTAAAGACTGAGAAATAATTAAAAATATGAATTCTTTCCATAATAGCTGAAGTTTTGTAGTTCTCTATCATCCATAAACTTGGTATTAGCCAGATGTTCCTGCTGGTCTTCTGGGGGAGGGGCCTCTTGCCCTGATTCTCATGTGTCTTTGCCCAGATGGAGTTGCATCCCTTTTGCCAGGTGGCTGGGCTCAGTGTAAGCAGCTCCAGACCACACTGCATGGCACTCTTTTGCTCCCTGAAGGCTTTCAGCACTGGGGGGTGGGGGATTAAAATGACGGCACTCCGATCTCTAGCCCCAGAGGTGAAAGCTGTTTGGCAGTTTTTTTAAAAAGTTAAACATAGAGTTGCCATATGACTCAGGAATTTCACTCTTAGTTGTATAACCATGTGTACAGAAACTATATGTCCTCACAAAAACTTACATGTGAATATTTGTGCCACCATTATTCACAATAGTCAAAAGATATAAACAACCCAAATGTCCATCAACTTATGAATAGATGAATAAAATGTGTTATATCCATACAGCAGCTATTATTCAGCTATAAAAAAATAACTGATTCATGTTACAACATGGATAAACCTTGAAAACATTATGGTAAGTGAAAGAAGCCTATCACAGAAGGGTCACATATTGTGTGACTCCATTTACGTGAAATGTCTGGAATAGGCAAATCTAGAGAGACAAAAGTAAGTTAGTAGTTCCCAGGGTTTTGGAGGAGGAGGACTGAGAAATGCATTAGGTTTAGTTTTCAGATGATAGAAAATGTTCAGGCATTATAAAATGGTGATGGTTGCACAACTTTGTGAATATACCAATAACCACTGCATTGTTTACTTGGAAAGGGTTATGGTATGTGAATTATATCTCAGTTTAGAATTAATTTTATATGGTGAATAGCCATAGAAAACAGAGATACTGTTTCCCTCCAGAGATTGCTCTCCATTATAAATGACAAACTCAAGATTCCCGCCCATAATGTACCTTACTGCATGGAATCTTCTAGTCAGTAATGCTGTGGGAATTGGGGCTCAGGGAAATGTTACAAATACTGATATTCCAGCAACTGTTATTGCTGGTGTTAATAAACTATTCTTTAACTGTGACCCTAGAGTTTTGTGTCTTCTGCCAGCATCTATGAAACTTGTTAACTTGTACCTAGAGTAAAATCTCAGACTCTTCAAAGTTCTTAACAAGGACCATAAAATTAATTTAGTTGACCTTTCTCATTTTATTTTTCAAATCTCAGTCATATAGCTATGCATTTTATTTCAAGAAAGCTGAGGAAGAAAACATCAATAGGAAGAAACCATTGGTTTCTTTATGGAATGGGTTTATCAACCCTTAACAATTTTGTCCTTAAATTAGCATTTGTCATGCTATATATCTTTTTGTTAGACTCATATCATTTTAAATATACAACTCGAAAGAGGATTCTTCGTCCTTTTCTTTGTGACACCTGCTGACCAAAAATCTTCTTCTACTTCTAATAACATCTTTGAAAGACTAAAAAGAAGAAAGATCTATAATAAAGATTCACTAGTATATTTAGAGATTTGTAGAATAACTTCTAAAAGATAGGTATCTGCTAAGTGATAAAGTACTTGATAATGAGTTGGGTTATCTTTCTACTTTTGTATCCCAGTTCTTATATATCATTAGGGATTATTCTAGTCTCGGCAAACAATTCAGATATACATTGTTTTAACTGTCATTGGATTTCAGAGTTTTTATATATAGTCTTGAGTTCAATGATGGCTTAACTTATGAAAGCCAATCAAGACTGGTTTTTAATTTGGATAACACTCTCCAGTCATGCCTATCACATTAATACAAAAATGAACATATTTAAGCTGATTTTTTCTACAAATTTTTCATTTTTTAAGTTTTCTAAAAAAAAAATTTCAATCAAGCTTAAGAGTTTAGTAAAACACTAAATAGATGAGTAATTTAAGTCCTAAAAATAATAAGCTCCAATACCTTATGCAGTAGTATTAATTAGGCAATATTCTAGAGCTTAATATTTTCTTTTACCTTGATTGAGTCACCATGGTTCTAGCTAGTTTGCTCCTTCAATATTGCATTTTCTCTGTAGTAATATTCAACACATTTTATTGTACTTGCTTGTTTATATTGTGTTCCCTCCTTTAGACTGAAAGCTCCTCAAGAGCAAGAAATGTGTTTCCTTGGTCTTTCTAGCCCTAGCACCTATTCCAGTGCCCAGAACAGGTATTCAGGAATAGTTGTTGATTTCCCTTGCAGATCAGACTTTAGAAAGGTAACTTACAGTCAGCAAGATTTTGCCAAAAATATGGGTTTTAAAATTATGTGCAAAATTATGAGCAACCTTTCTTTGTATTAATTTATTGCTATGCGCTGAATTGTATCCTCATAAAATTTATATGCTGAAGTCCCTAGTATCTCAGAATATGACTTTTTTTGATGATAGCGTCTTTAAAAAGGTAATTAAGGTAAAATGAGGTCAATAGTATATCCCTTAATCCAATATGACTCATGTTCTTCTAAGAAAAATTTAGGACAAAGACACACAGAAGAAGACCATGTGAAGATACAGGGAAAAGATGGCCATCTTCAAATTGAGGACAGGGACAGAGACCTGACAAGAAATCAACCCTGCCAAGTCTGAGACTTCCAACCACCAGAAATGCAAGAAAATAAATTTCCATCTAAGCCACCCAGTCTGTTCATAGCAACTAATATAGTAACTGAAAGATTGTTTTGGTAAGTATAGAATTTTAAAAAGTTCTCATAGTCCTATGGGAATATTTATATACACTACATTAGAGCCTCTTTTGTACAGAAAATATAACTTTACGGTGGCCCAGTATGTGTATCTCTAGTATCTTTCCTTCACAAATATTTACATGCACACCAACAATTCTATATTCTGTCTCTCCTCTCTCTAGGTCTCATGGTTCTTTTTTATAAAATGTAATTCCTCAGCTCTTGGGTAGAATCACAGTAGAAGTGACAGTTTATTCCCTCATCACATCCTATACTTTCGAAAGCATCTTCTAACGTAAGTGTGAATATCAAATAGATACCATATTTATCATATCACACACATCACTAAATGAACTAGATAAAACTATCATCTGTTTCTCTTATGTTACAAACTTACTAGCATAATATATGAGCCAGGAGCTGTATCTTAGAAAGTTATGAATGATAAATAGCATTGGTAAATATACAAAGAGAAGAATTATTCTCTTATGAAATCTTATTCTTCATGTTTAATTTTGGAATCGGAATTGACTTAATTTTATCACAGTGTCTTTTTAAATGAAGCAGTTGGTTTTATGATCTGATTTTTTCTAGAAATATTTCAGAGAATGAATAGAAATACTCACAGCTTTTCTCAAAACAAAGTAATATGTTACAATCTTTTGAAGTTAGTGTGTTTCTAGCAAGATATTCCCAATTCTGGAGAGCCATGTAGATAGCGACTTTGGCAGAATAATGAAACTCATTTGCCGATTTCTCAGAAGAATAGTATTTCTAGTGATAGTAGAATATTCATAAGCAATCAGAGTTTGAGAGTACATCCATGGGATTCCCTAAAGGCATAAATGAATTCTCAAGAGTAATCTATTTCACTATGTACTTCAAATAATATATTCCCAAACATATAGTTATCTTTTTATGAAGACACAGAAACATTTTATGACTGAACAATAATTCCCTCTTTTTAGGATAAAAATTATAGGAAATATGGAATTTTTATCCCTGGAATTATTGGTTACATGAAAAACTAAACATTTAGTGACTTCAGGTAAGATGAATTCACTAGGAGGAGCTGAGTATAAAATTCCAGATAGCCAGCTAAAAAGTGAAAACAAAATTAGGGGAATTCATGGGTGTGTTGCTGTTGTTGTTTTAATGACTACATTCAATCAACAAAATCAGTTGTTGGTTTCTTTTTCATCAAGGTGCCTGTATGTTCTTCCTGGTTGACTTGGAACCAGCTCAGAGGAAAACTCCTCTGCTCTCAGTCTTACCTGGTTCATTTTTCCTTCTAAATATAGAAAAACAGGTTGAGTCAATTATACTCTTACAAAACCTCCAAGTTCCCCATTTTCCCACTAGGCCTTCCTACTAAAACTAGCAAGAAGAGAGCAACTTGATCACAATTCTTTGACCTCATCCATTCTACTTTAGCTATAAGTTCTCCTGGTCACACTGTAGTTTGTACAAAATGTTGTATACAAACCATCTGCTTCAGAATCATTTAGAGTACTTGTTTAAAGTGCAGATTCCTCAGTGCCTCCCTCCCCAATAATTCTGATTCAGTAGGCCTAAAACCCAATAATATGCATTTTTACAAAACCCCTATGTGATTCTTTTCCAAGTGAATTGTTTACCACATTTTGAGGAACACTGCTTTAGACATAGGTGTGTCATGGTAGAGAATAGTTGAAAGACTTCTCGTTTAAAATCCTCTGCTTTCCTTGTAAAGTAGATGAGTTTGTTCGTTTTCCTGCCCCTCATCCCACTGGCACACTTTGATATATTCTTCAGTATCTAAACCAAAGTAAAAACTTTTATGTTAACTTTCCCTCACCCAGCTAATCAATCTTATTTTGAGTCAATAAGGTATCTCATGCATGTTTTTATTATGGTACTCATCACATACTGTAACAACTATTTGTCTCCTTAAATCTTGGTGTTCCTGAGGGTGTTACTGAGGGTCTCATTGAAAATGGAGAGATAAAAAGCTTCCAGGACAAACAAAAATTAAAAGAACTTTCAAACACCAAACCAGCCATACAGAAAATATTGAAGGGGTCCTCTAAGCAAAGAGAGAGCTTAAAAGTAGTAGTCCAGAAAGGAGCAGAGACAATATACAGTAATAGTCACCTTACAGGCAATACAACGGCACAAAATTCATGTCTCTCAGTAGTTACCCTGAATATCAATGTCCCAATCAAATGACACAGGGTATCAGAATGGATAAAAAACCAAAACCAATCAATATGCTATCTACAAGAGACTCATTTTAGACCCAAAGACACCTCCAGATTAAAAGTGAGAGGTTGAAAAACAATTTATCATGCTAATGGACATCAAAAGAAAGCTGGGGTGGCAATCCTTATCTCAGATCAATTAGATTTTAAGCCAAAGACTATAATAGGAGATAAGGAAGGACACTATGTCATACTCAAAGGGTCTGTCCAACAAGAAGAACTAACAATTTAAAATGTATATGCCCCTAATATTGGAGCAGCCAACTATATAAACGAATTTCTAACAAAATCAAAGAAACACATCAATAGTAATAGAACAATAGTGGAGGAGTTTAACACCACCCTCACTGAAATGGACAGATCATTCAAGCAAAAGATCAAGAAGAAAATACAGGCCTTAAATGACACACTGGACCATGTGGACATAACAGATATATTCAGAACATTCCATCCCAAAGCAACGAATACACATTCTTCTCTAGTGCACATGGAACATTCTCCAGAATAGATCACATCCTAATTCATAAATCAGGTCTCAACTGGTATCAAAAGATTGGGATCATTCCCTGCATATTTTCAGACCACGATGCTCTGAAGCTAGAACTCAATCACAAGAGGAAATTTGGAAAGAACCCAAATATATGGAGACTAAAGAGCATCCTTCTAAAGACTAAATGGGTCAACTAGGAAGTTAAAGAAGAATTGAAAAAATTCATGGAAACAAACGATAATGAAAACACAGTTGTTCAAAATCTGTGGGACACAGCAAAGACAGTCCTGAGAAGAAAATATATAGCGATACAACCCTTTCTCAAGAAACAAGAAAGGTCTCAAATACACAACCTAACCCTACACCTAAAGGAGCTGGAGAAAAAACAACAAAGAAAGCCTTAACTCAGCAGGAGAAGAGAAATCATAAAGATCAGAGCAGAAATCAATGAAATAGAAACAATAACAACAACAAAAATAATAGAAGAAATCAATGAAACTAGGAGCTGGCTCTTTGAAAGAATTAATAAGATTGATAAAACCCTGGCCAGACTTATCAAAAAGAAAAGAGAAAGGACCCAAATAAATAAAATCATGAATGAAAGAGGAGAGATCACAACCAACACCAAAGAAATACAAACAATTATAAGAACATATTATGAGCAACTATACACCAGCAAATTTGACAACCTGAAGAAATGGATGCATTCCTAGGGACATATAAACTACTACAACTTAATCAGGAAGAAATAGAACACCTGAACAGACCCATAACCAGTAAGGAGATTGAAACAGTCATCAAAAATCTCCAAACAAAAAAAAGCCCAGGGCCAGACGGCTTCCCAGGGGAATTCTACCAAACATTTAAAGAAGAATTAATACCTGATCTCCTGAAACTGTTCCAAAAAATAGAAATGGAAGGAAAACTTCCAAACTCATTTTATGAGCCAGCATTACCTTGATCCCAAAACCAAAGATCCCATCAAAAAAGAGAATTACAGACCAATATCCTTGATGAACACAGATTCGAAAATTCTCACCAAAATACTAGCCAATAGGATCCAACAGTACATTAAAAGGATTATTCACCACGACCAAGTGTGATTTATTCCAGGGCTGCAAGGTTGGTTCAACATCCACAAATCAATCAATGTAATACAATACATTAATAAAAGAAGGAACAAGAACCATATGATACTCTCAGTAGATGCTGAAAAAGCATTTGACAAACTACAGCATCCCTTCCTGATCAGAACTCTTCAAAGTGTAGGGATAGAGGGCACATACCTCAATAGCATCAAAGCCATCTATGAAAAACCACTGCAAATATCATTCTCAATGGAGAAACCAGAGAGCTTTTCCGCTAAGGTCAGGAACACGGCAGGGATGTCCATTATCATCACCACTGCTATTCAACATAGGACTAGAAGTCCTAGCCTCAGCAACCAGACAACAAAAAGAAATTAAAGGCATCCAAATCGGCAAAGAAGAAGTCAAATGATCACTCTTTGCAAATGCTATGATACTACATGTGGAAAACCCGAAAGACTCCAAATCTGCTAGAACTTGTACAGGAATTCAGTAAAGTGTCAGGATATAAAGTCAATGCACAGAAAGCAGTTGCATTTCTTTACACCCAACAACACGACAGAAAAAGAGAAATTAAGGAGTCAATCCCATTGACAGTTGCACCCAAAACCATAAGATACCTAGGAATAAACTTAATCAAAGAGGCAAAGAATCGGTACTCAGAAATTTATAAAGTACTCACGAAAGAAATTGAGGAAGACACAAAGAAGTGGAAAAATGTTCCATGCTCATGGATTGGAAGAAAAAATACAGTGAAAATGTCTATACTACCTAAAGTTATCTACACGTTTAATGCAATCCCTAACAAAATCCCATCCATTTTTTTTTCAAAGAAATGGAACAAATAATCCTAAAATTTATATGGAACCAGAAAAGACCTCGAATAGCCAAAGGAATATTGAAAAAGAAAGCCAAAGTTGGTGTCATCACAATTCCAGACTTCAAGCTCTATTAAAAAGCTGTCATCATCAAGACAGTATGGTACTGGCACAAAAATGGACACATAGATCAATGGAAAAGAATAGAGAGCCCAGAAATAGACCCTCAACTCCATGGTCAACTAATCTTCGACAAAGCAGGAAAGAATGTCCAGTGGAAAAAAGACAGCCTCTTCAACAAATGGTGTTGGGAATATTGGACAGCTGCATGCAGAAAAATGAAACTGGACCATTTCCTTACACCACACACCAAAATAGACTCAGAATGGATGAAGGTCCTCAATGTGAGAAAGGAAGCCATCAAAATCCTTGAGGAGAATACAGGCAGCAACCTCTTCGACCTCAGCTGCAGCAACTTCTTCCTAGGAACATCGCCAAAGGCAAGGGAAGCTAGCGCAAAAAATTAACTATTGGGACTTCATCAAGATCATCAAGATCTTCATCAAGATCAGAAGCTTTTGCACAGCAAAGGAAACAATTAACAAACCAAAACACAACTGACAGAATGGGAGAAGATATTTGCAAACGACATATTAGATAAAGGGCTAGTATCCAAAATCTATAAAGAATTTATCAAACTCAACACAAATAATACAATTGAGAAATGGACAGAAGACATGAACAGACATTTCTGCAAAGAAGACATCCAAATGGCCAACAGACACATGAAAAAGTGCTCCATTCGGCATCAGGCAAATACAAATCAAAACCACAATGAGATACCACCTCACACCAGTCAGAATGGCTAAAGCTAACAAGTCAGGAAATGACAGATGCTGGTGAGGATGTG